GTAATTTGTAGCGTGACTTACCTTGAAAAGTTTAAACACTGACGTTCTGTGGTGCTTTCAAAACATTGCTCTGTTTGTTTAAGCATCCAGATCAGCTCAATGCAACAACAAATACAACAAAAAATTTTAACAAAATACTAAACCAATTGCGTGAGTTTGGGGTGGGGCTAAACTGTTTTGTCAGCCAATGGCAGATGGGGGAGTGGTTTGTACGCTCTGGGAAAAACAAAAGGTAGAAAATCTGTCACTGTGCCAGTACCCTTTCAAAAGGTATACCTTTATACATTATTTACCCCTAAAGAGTCCACATTAGTACCTTGAATATATATATATACAGTATATATATAAATTAGTATCTACAGTGTATATGTTAGTACCTAAACGGTACATATACACTGCCCCAGTGCAGCATTTGTACTCTTTTTTTGTTTTTTTTATATTTCTATTTGGCGACACAGAAATTACATACTCTAATGCTGTTAGAAGTCTTATTGCTCTTGATCTGTTCAGATTAAAGAATTCATTGTAATATTTATACATACTAACACTTTTAAAAGTCAAAACTTATGCTACTTAAACTTGAAACTAAACTGTTAAAAATAAACGGCAACCAGAAAGATTGTTTTCTCTTTCTAATCATCCTTGTTTTAATAGGCGTACTCCAAGCAGCATTACAAGCTCATGACATTGATCTGAAGGATACTCCTAATTCCCAGTTCACCATGAAGGTGGTGTCACAAGACCCTGCCTCGCCAAAATTTACCCTGAAGGACTTACCTTCTACCACTACAGTCAAACAGCTCGCCTTCACGGGATGCTTTGATTATGATGTGAGTAACTAATGCCGAATGCACATTTTCAGCATTTTTCAGTATTTCTCATCTCTTCTGTCTCCCGTATTTTAGAAAACAAAACAATATAAAGTGCTAGTTGAAGCGAGGGATCAAGGCACACCCACAATGTCTTCAACTGCAACTGTTATTGTGGATATCACTGATTCCAACACCCATCCCCCAGAATTCAGTTCGGCCATGGTGAGTAAGGCTAGTCGCACAATCCCAGTTTAATATGCACACAACTGTAAGGAAGCCATGTGTAGATTGATGTGTGAGGAAAATGTAAACACCGTGAATGTGTGATGCTTTCCAAACATGCTGTCTGACATAGAAACATTGGGTCAGCCAATGGCGTGAGTTTGGGTTGACCAATGACAGAAGTGTTTAGGAAACCTATTTGTAAACAGTCAGTTGGGTGCTTTGAAAAAATCTAGCAGTTTTTAATGCTTTTCTGTAGGATAGTGTACTTTCCCGCCATGCAACACGAAATACCTCTAGTTTTGTTTTCCTCCAGCTGCGCTCCATTTTCCGGGCTGCTCTCTTTAGGGTGCGAGTTTGCTCATTATACCATGGTGTCAGACTGTTTTGCTTAATCTTCCTTAAGCATAAAGAAGCAACCCTATCTAAAATGCTAGAAAATAGAGAGTCCATAGTTTCTGTTACATCATCAAGCTTTTCTGAGCTATTGGATATGCTGAGGAATTTAGATAAATCAGGAAGATTACTTACAAAGCAGTCTTTTGTGGTAGAAGGGATGGTTCTACCATATTTATAACAATGAGTAGAATTTACAGTTTTAGCTATATGGAGTTTACACAAGACTAGATAATGATCTGAGATGTCATCGCTTTGCTGCAGAATTTCAACACCGTTAACCGTTAACGGTCACACCGTTAACAAAAGTGTGACCAATGTTTTCATAACTTAATGGCAACTTTAGAAAAAATTTCATTATTTTTGTTAGCTGGGTTTACCCTTAATAAATACTATGATTTTTTTTTAAATGGCTTTTTAAAGAATGGGATCTGATATGATATACTTTGATATAAATGAATATTTGTGTGTGTAACAGTACAACACTGAAGTGATGGAAATGGAATTAAAGGAGATCCTACGAATCGGCATCAAAGACAAGGACACACCGAACATGCCTGGTTCAAGAGCGGTGTTCTCCATCCTGAAGGGCAATGAAGAAGGAAATTATAAGATTGAGACAGACTCCAAAACCAATGAAGGTGTGCTGTCTGTTATCAAGGTAAATGCCACTGTTCTCTTGAAATATTTCATACACTTCTAAGACCAGCTTAAAGGACTAGTTCATTGAAAAGTGAAAGATCTGTCATCATTTACCCACACTAATGTCGATCCACACCTCTTATAGTTTCTTTCTTCTGATGAGCACAAAAGAGGATATTGGAGGAATGTTGGTACTAAAGAGATGCTGCTTCCCATTGACTTCCATAGTGTTTTTTTTTCCCGAACTATGGAAGACAATGGCTACTCTCAACTGTTTCTTGATGGTAGCCATTGCTTCTTTATCGGGGGGTAAATTCAATAAAAAGAAATACAGACTTCACAGATTTACACACCTATTTATCACAGTTACTTCTTTCAGTACGCATGTTGGTTTTACATTTTGTCGGTGGGCTCAAAAACGGGATTGCTTTAGAAAAAAGATGGACCGCTTTTAATATGCTTGTATTTTCACAGGGGAAGAATTTCGAGAAAACTGAGGTCACAGAGCTGGAGATAGCAGTCGAGAACGAGGAGAAATTATTTCGGTGTGTTGATGGAAAGGCTATAACAGGCCCCACACCAAAGCCAAACACTGCCAAAGTCTCAGTGAAAGTCATTGATGTGAACGATCCCCCTGTGTTTAAAAAGCAAATTGAAAAAGTCTACCGGAATGAAAACGGACCTCTGGGAGATGTGTTGTTCGTACCCGAGATCAAAGATGAGGACTCGGACGTTAACAAACTCAGGTGTGGATGAGCTGCACAGCATCAAATTACCCATCAATTAAAATGTTCATTTTTGAAGATTTGTATGCTACTTTTATTTTATAATATATAAAATATTATATATTATATTATATTATTATATTATAAAATGTAAAAATATAATATATATATAATTATATGCCAG